TGTGCATCTTACTGTGTGTGTATCTTACTGTGTGTGTATCTTACTGTGTGTGCATCTTACTGTGTGTGTATCTTACTGTGTGTGTATCTTACTGTGTGTGCATCTTACTGTGTGTGTATCTTACTGTGTGTGTATCTTACTGTGTGTGCATCTTACTGTGTGTGTATCTGATGTGTAATTGTGTGTATTACTGTGTGTGTATCTGATGTGTAATTGTGTGTCTTACTGTGTGTGCATCTTACTGTGTGTGTATCTGATGCGTAATTGTGTGTCTTACTGTGTATCTGATGTGTAATTGTGTATCTTACTGTGTATCTGATGTGTAATTGTGTGTCTTACTATGTGTGTATCTTACTGTATGTGTATCTGATGTGTAATTGTGCATCTTACTGTGACGATTAGGGAACCACATTTCCTTGAGTAGCAGCTTCACAGTCAAATCGCACTAGAATCCTTTTGCACGTTTCTGAAACCGACAACTCACCTCTTAATTCCAGCGGATTCATGTAACTGAAGCCTTGTTGCCCGTTTATTTGGCAACCTGTCATCCTTGGAAACATTGTAAAGATCAACGTTTGACTCTGTCTCGGTAAAATTTCAGCTGTCCCCATTTATCGCTTAGTGAACGTGACTTTGAAACCAAACCAAAAAAAAGCATTTATAAATGGAAGGAAGAATTAGTTTTGCTTTGTTTTGTTGAAAGGGAAAGACGCTTAGCTGCGGATAAATATGTCTCTGGCTCCATCTTCTGTACAGAGTGGAAATGAACATCAAAAGAAGGGACTGTGGCGGCTCCCTCAGAGAAGCTCACATCCACGCTCCTTCTTCCCAGCCCTTCTCTTTCTCCCTGTCCTCTTGCTTAATCCATATAAAGGTCTTTTAACAAACTGCAACTCTGATTTAAAAAAATGTAGCTGCCAAACCACTTGCTATCTATTTAATGTTTGCTGGTTTTTGGAGACAAGGTTTCTCTTAGTTTTGGAGCCTGTCCTGGAACTTGCTCTGTAGACCAGGCTGCCCTTAGACTCACGGAGATCTACTTGCTTCTGCCTCCTGAGTGCTGGGATTAAAGAAGTGCACCACCATCCCCTGGCTTGATATCATTTTTTTTTTATAAAGCTCAGGTAATCTTTTAGGATGTTTAGATTTAGCAATGCAGTGAATATTTACTATGTTTTAGGAACTGTACTAGATGCCAGTGAAAGGATTTTTACATATGGCCCGAAGACAAAACTGATGCCAGGGAGAACTCCTTAAGCTTAAGTCTTTGGGTTTTCTTAAGGGAACTTTGAAAAAATCAACAAATGACAAGAAAAAAGAATGCTAGTTTTGTCTTTCAGAGGGGAAGGGCATCTATTCCCTCTATGATTAGGTCCTGAGCTGCAGATGTGAAGACTACAATGACTAAAAGAATGGTTGATGGCTTAGTGGCTAAAAGTGTTTGCCACCAAGCTTTACCTCCTGAACTTGGCTCCCCAGGACCCTCACTGTGGAAGGAGAAAGATGACTCCCGGAAGTTGTGCTCTGACCCCCACGTGTGTACTCTGGCATGAATGGACCTATGATTACATGTGCTAAATAAATAAATTGAAATAAAAACTTACGAACAGTATGTCTACCTCCAAACCCCTGGGAAAAATAAATTGTTCAGGAGCAAAAGCTAGGAAAAGTTTTCAGTTTTGCTTAGTGACAAGATCTCCTGTAGCTCAGGCTAACCCTGAACTAGCTATGTAGGTAAGACAAACTTGAGTTTCTGATCTTCCATATGCTGGGATTACAGGCATACATTGTCATGCCTGACTCAAAGCTAAGATGATGTTGCATATCGCTGAATTATATAAAGAGGAACAACATCCAATTTTCTGGATTTTCTGACCATCAGACATTGTATTCATGTATTAAGACATCACACATTTGTGTAACTATCATGTGTCAATTAAAAATAACCCTGCCTCGAAAAACCAAAATAAATAAATAAATAAATAAAAGTAGCTTTTAAAGGAAGAGAAAAACCCCTTCCACTCTTGGGAGTTTTCCTGACTTTCCCTCACTAAGTCTATTTTTTTTTTTTTTTTTTTGCTTAGAAAAGAAGGAAGAAAGCCAGGTGGTGGTGGTACATACCTTTAGCCTCAGCACTTGGAAGGCAGAGGCAGGTGGATCTCTGTGAGTTCGAGGCCAGTCTGGTCTACAAGAGCTAGTTCCAGGACAGACTCCAAAGCTACAGAGAAACCCTGTCTCGAAGAAAGAAGAAGAAGAAGAAGAGAAGGAGGAGGAGGAGGAAGAAAGAGCATCTAAATTGGACTTTACCTGAAACTTTTGTCTGCTGATTGATTATCCAACAAAAGAGAAAATAGCTTAAGATTTCATTTCTGCTTAAACAACACGAACATTACTCAATTATCTGGAATCATCTTGTACGTGTCATCTTTGATTCCACTGCTCAAGAGGCAGAAGCAACCAGACCTCCATTAGTTCTGGGCCAGCCTGGTCTACATATCAAGTTCCAGACCAACCAGAGACACATCGTGGAGCCCTGTCTGGGAAAAAGAAATTTATCAAGACAGCTCTCTCTTCTGTGGGACGCTTGCTGTCACTTTAGAGTCAGCCTTGTGCTGTGTGCTCTGGAGACGTAGAACGCATAGGGAAGATTTTATGTGTCGGAAGCATCCTTGTGTGTGCAATTTTTTTAGAAATTTAAGGATGAGAGCAAGTGTATAGTTAATGTAACAAAATCAAGAACAAAATCATTCACACCACTATTTAATTGAATCAAAAAAGAGAAAAGAAGAAAAGACAGACTGACTTAATATTGCTTTAAGAGTCAGCTGAGATAAAAATTCCCAAATGAAATATTTACAATGCTTGGTTATAGTCCCACTTACTGAGGTCGTTAAAGTGCCTTTCTGTTGTATGTCTGAGTTGGCTTTGGTACACATGAAGAAGGACCTGTCCTGGCTTTATACCATGCATGGCCTTGATAGGCAGCACCCTGTTTTACAGAGTTTTCATTTATTATAAACGTAAAACCACACAATTATTCCTTTAAAAATCCTGTATCATAGTGATTATAAATGCATTAATAATATTTCAGCCAGAAAGGGTACGATGACCAAAGCTGAAAACCCACCCTACTGGGTGCTCAGGAAAAGCTTCAGTTTACTTACCGATAACAACTGATAATGGGTAGTAAATTAGTTACGATTTGTTATTGACATAAAATTAAGTCCAAAATTACTGTAGCAGGATTCGTACGGCCTCAAGACTCTTGTGACTTTTAAAATTGGTTTATCTTTATTATTTGTGTATGTATGTGTTTGTGTGCCATGTGTGTGCAGGAGTCCTTGGAAGCCAGGAGAAGGCATTGGATCCCTTGGAGGTGGAGTTATAGGCAGTTGTGCGCCATCATATGGGTGCTGGAAACCAAATTCAGTTCTTAACTATCTCTCTAGCCTCCAGTGACTACTTTCTAGTCTGTTGGCAGTTCCTGCCATCCATTATGACACAGTATCTGAGCTTATAATAAACCCCACCTTAAAGTATGAGTTTTATTTAAAAACTTCCCAAACTTCTTCAGACTCAAATTATCTTCCCCAGTGGTCACCCTCAGAAGGTAGATTTTCTGCAGTTAGCCTTCCAAGTTGATGTTTGTTTGTGTATGTTTATAAAATTGTTTTATTTTGAGACAGGGTCTCACATAGCCAAGGTTGGTCTTGAACTCTAGAAGCAATCCTCCTGCTTCAAACTCCCAAGTGCTGGGATTACGGGTCTGCAGCCATGTGTTGCTTGGAGTTCCATGTTTGGGTAAAGATACTGAAAACCTAGACTTCTGCGTGAGATCTCAAAAAACAAAACAAAACAAAACAACAACAACAAAAAAAACACGCTGCCATGCATTTGACAGGTTAAGAAGAAGATGACGCAAGAGAAACAGACTGCTTCAAAGACATAGGAAGAGAGCCAGGAGTAACCAAAGGTAAACACGCCAAAAGAACTGAGAAAGAAGTAACCCAGCTGAACACAGCCCCAGCAACATAGCGTCCTGCTGGGTGGAGGGAAAGCAGAGGCCTCATAAGGAAGGCAAGACTGTTGCGGAAAACGTACTGGCAATCCTGTAACAGGCCCCCAGCACTTAGTACAACTGACTCCATGATGGTCATACCATTCAGGCTGTAAAACTCAGCATGTAGATAGCACCACCTGCCAAAATGAAAGCAAAGACCTAATCCATCAAAGTCCATAGTTCTGGGAAAGTCTCTAAATGTGCTAACCTTGTGTTTTGGCTTCTATAGTTCTGAGTCTGCTAACTATTCTTGCAAGAACTTACTTTTTGTACTGAAAAGCTCAACCCTGGAAAAGCTCAGTTCTACACCAGGATCCTGAACACTCAGTGTTCAGGCTAACAAAGGCTTCCTATTGGCTTAAACTCACGAAGGAGCAATCTTCTCAATGCATCAGTCTTTTCTGGTGGATTCCACGCAATTCCTACCTTCAACATAAGCCCATAGCCCTCACAGAACATGTTTTGGTGAAGCAATAATTCACCTGGCAGAGCAGTAGAGAAGAATCTCACTTTGCCACACTGTGTGACAAAGAGGACCGTGATCAGCTGCAATCTTGAGAGAAAAACTATTAATGAAAACAAGCTGAGCCACCGAATAAAGGTAAGCCACCGAACCCTCATTGCCCCAGGGTGAGAGACAGCCCCAGGAGAGAGTTGTGGGAAAAGAAGGCGTGGCTCAGGCAGTGAAGGGCACGGAGAAACTTATCACCTCAGCCCTGGTGACGGAGAGCACGTCGCAGTTTCTGAAAACAGCCCTGCGTATGACAATGGGTCGATCTCTGGCGCCACCTATCGTTCCACAGCCGCCAGGCTCTAAAGGCCAAACCCAGTTGGTACTCAAGACTGGAAGATACAAAGCCAGGTCCTCTTAATGTGGCTGGTTTCTGCACTCTTGGTGCAATTGGTGTGTGTGTAGGGGGGAGGTCCGCCCTCAGCTAGAATGCAAGCCCACCAGGTGGCAAAGATTGGAGTGTCCCTGGAAAGTGACAGAACCGGCTTGGCCGGCCCTATGAACTGCAAAGCCAACAGGGGCTCTAGGTAAGCAAAGACAGGAAGCCACTAAGGACAAGACAGACCCATCAGCTCAAATACTTGACCAAACCGAATGGCTAAGACAAGACTCCCCAAGTTCAGCTGGGAAGCCTACATCTGGCCTTCCTCCAGCACTAAAACAAAACAAAACAACAAAACCTTTATGTTCTTATTTTATATTCCCCTTTATACATCCATTCAATTTTGTATACATGTTGTTTTCATTATTGGGCAGCCTTTATTCCTACACGCACGCTCGCACGCATGCGAGCGAGCACACACACACACACATTGTGAGTTTGCCTCATTTTTCCTCTTTTCTACTATAATTTTTGTAGCATTTGACTTTATCATACTGACTTTGATTTTTTTTAAATATTTATTTATTATGTATACAATATTCTGTCTGTGTGTATGCCTGCAGGCCAGAAGAGGGCACCAGACCCTATTACAGATGGTTGTGAGCCACCATGTGGTTGTTGGGAATTGAACTCAGGACCTTTGGAAGAGCAGGCAATGCTCTTAACCTCTGAGCCATCTCTCCAGCCCCTGGTTTTGATTTTTTTTCTGATGATCATGATGGATAGGAAAGTCTTGGGAAATCAAGTAGTTAGTAAATATTCCTTCATAGTTCTTATTTAATACTGAACTCTAGGGCCATAGATAAACAACACAGAAAATAGAGTTAAATAAGAATAAAAACAAGCGCAGAGTTGGGCCTGTCCTGGCTGAGAGCAGCTGAGAAACCTCCAGCTACCTATAAGAAACCTCATGGCTGGCCCCCAGAAGAAAGGACAAAGGCCAGTTGATATGCCCTGATGGTGCTTAATTTTATCTATTAATTAATCGGAGTCAGGCGTGGTGGAGCACATCTTTACTTTAAGTGCTGCGGAGGTAGAGGCAGGTGGGTCTCTGTGAATTCGAGTCTTCATCGCCATCTTCTTTTGTAACCTACTGAGTACAGTTAATGCTGCTTCTATGTGCACAGGCATATGCACTAGAAAGTGTGCAGTCTACTGTGGGCAGAAACCTGACTCTCCTTCCCTCAGCATCCATCACTACCTGAAGCTGGACACTGAGGGATGGAGTCGTTTCTATCCATATTGTAGTATTGACTGGCTTGATCAATCTCGTCTTCAGATGGGCTATCGAAACTAAAAACTAGAGTCAAACTGCTACACAGATAAAACAGACTCAAAAGATATTAATAGAACATTCCATCCAATAGATACAGAATTACATCTTTCTTGGAAGCCCATGAGACCTTCTCTAAAATAGATCACACTATAAGCCACAAAACAAGCTTTGACAAAAAAAAATCCTTATATCATATCAGATCAAAATAGAAATCAACAGAGAGAGAAACTGCCCAATGATTGGAGACTGAACAGTGACTAGTGGGCAGCAAGGAGGAAATTTAAGAATTCCTAGAATCATGCCAAAGAAATTATAATTTACCAAACCATTGGGTCCAACTGAAAATGTTTTCCTCTTGTTTGTGTGTGTGTGTGTGACTTTTTGTTGTTGTTTTTCTTTCTTTCTTTTTTTTTTTTTTGAGACAAGGTCTCTCTGTGTCTCTCTGATTGTCCTGGAACTCTCTTTGTAGAACAGGCTGGCCTCGGACTCACATCTGCCTGCCTCTGCCATCTGAGTTCTAGGACGATAAGCATGCACCACCATGCCTGGCAACATTTTTTTAAGATTTATTTTTATTTATTTATTTATTTATTTTTGGTTTTTCGAGACAGGGTTTCTCTGTAGCTTTAAAGCCTGTCCTGGAACTAGCTCTTGTAGACCAGGCTGGCCTCGAACTCACAGAGATCCACCTGCCTCTGCCTCCCGAGTGCTGGGATTAAAGGCATGCGCCACCACTGCCCGGTTTAAGATTTATTTTTATTGGGATCATAGAGATAGGCCAGTCATTAAGAGCATTTTCTGATCCTCCAGTGGACCCAAATTCAGTTCTCAAGACTTGTGTCAAGCAGCTCAAAACTTCCTGAAACAAACACACAAGCAAACAAGCAACAAACAAATCTGCCTATAATACCACTAAATACCAGCTCCAGGGACCCAATGTCCTCTTCTAGCTTACATGGGCACCTGCACAGAAACAACACATATACATGTAAATAAAAATTAAAACAAAAATTTCCCTCTTATTGAAAATAAGAAAAATAGATTATTTCTCACATAATATATTTTGTTTATGGTTTCCCCTGCCTCTACACCAAGTTCTTCCCTCCTCCCACCCAGATCTACCTCCTTTCTGTCTCTCAGAATGAATAGGCTCCTAAGGGACAATGATAAAATAAAATAAAAAAGATGAAACAAAAACTAACATATTGGAATTGAACAAAACAGAGGAAAAGAGTTCAAGAGAAGACATGAAAATCAGAGAACCACTCATTTGTACACTTGGGAATCCCATAAAAACACTAAAGCAGAAGCTATAATATACACAAAAGACCTGTAGGGCAAAAGAAAGAAGGGGGGCATATAAATTAAACTTAAATTTTTTATTAAAGATTTAAAAAAATTTGGAGATGACATTATGAGATAAGGAAACTTCAAAGATGTCTTTGAATTGGTTTTCTGTTGGCCATCTACTGCTGGGCATGCAGCCTACCTTTAAGATTTTCCCTTTGAGACTCTCTTGGGAAAAAATATATTTTAATTTACAAGTGGTTGCCGGGCGATGGTGGCGCACGCCTTTAATCCCAGCACTTGGGAGGCAGAGGCAGGCGGATCTCTGTGAGTTCGAGACCAGCCTGGTCTACAAAGCTAGTTCCAGGGTAGGCTCCAAAGCCACAGAGAAACCCTGTCTCGAAAAAGCAAAAAAAAAAAAAAAAAATTTACAAGTGGTTATCAACTGGGGATAACCTCTGGGTTAGGAATCAGGGCATGTGTCCACTTCAGCTTTCAGCCTAGGACCCCATCTGGTGCAGGCCCATGCAGGCCCTGTGTGTCTTGATCTCAGTGGATCCAGACATACATCAATTCTCTTGATTTAGAGGGCCTTGTTTCCTTGGTGTTGTTATTCCTTTCTGGTTGTCAAATTCTTTATGACCCACTCCTCTTCAGCAGAGTTCCTTGAGCCCCAAGAGAAATGATTTCATGGAACATTCCATTTAGAACTGAGTGTTCCAAAGTCTCTCTCTGCATATTGTCTAGATGTGGGTCTCTGCATTTGTCCCCATCTCCTGCAGGAGAAAACTACTCTGGACATGGCTGAGCAAGGCCGTGAGCTATGGGTATAGCACAATGTCATTAGGAATCACATTATTGTTACATACTTTTAGTAGAACAGTAGTATTTGGCTTTACCTTAAGTCCCTGGACTATCTTGGTCACCCAAGCAATGTTGTGTTTGGGTCCCATCTCATGAAGTAGGTTTTAAGTCAAATCAGGTATAGGTTAGTTATTGTTGTTTTTAAACTAAGTCTCTATCTTTTTATTTTATCAGTTAAGACTCAGGAGCCATCTGTAATAAGATCTGGTGCCCTCTTTTGGCACCCAAGCATATGTGCAGGTAGAGCACTATATGCATAATAAACAAATGAAAATTTATTTATTTATTTATGTTTTTTTGAGACAGGGTTTCTCTGCATCTTTGGAGCCTATCCTGGAACTCTCAAAGAAGATTTATTTAAAAAGAAGAAAAGAAGAAGGAGGAGGAGGAAGAGGAGGAGGAGGAGGAGGAGGAGGAGGAGAAGAAGGAGAAGGAGAAGGAGAAGGAGAAGGAGAAGGAGAAGAAGAAGAAGAAGAAGAAGAAGAAGAAGAAGAAGAAGAAGAAGAAGAAGAAGGTGACAGGTTGTATGGCATTTTCATTTGCTTATCATTCTAGTTTGGTATCTGGTAAAAACAAACTTATGAAGGAAAGTCTTTATTTGGCTCATGGTTTACAATCCATCACTAAGTCAGGACAGGATCTCAAGGCAGGATCCTGGAAGTAAGAACTGAAGCAGGTTGGGTGGTGGTGGCACATGCCTTTAATCCCAGCACTCGGGAGGCAGAAGCAGGCAGATCTCTATGAGTTTGATGCCAGCCTGATTTATAAGAGCTGTTTCCAGGACAGGCTCCAAAGCTACACAAAAACCCTGTGTCGGAAAACAAAAAAACAAAACAAAACAAAAAAGAACTGAAGCAGAAGCCATGATGGCACACAGCTTATTTGTTTCCTCTCTATGATTTACTCAGCTGGCTTTCTTATTTCCCCAGGACCACCAGCCTGGAAGTAGACCTTACTCAAAGTGGGCTGGACCCTCCCACATTAATCATTAATAAAAAAAATGCTCCCCCCAAGACTTGCCTACAGGCCAAGCTAATGGAGACAATGCCTCAGTTGAAGGACCCTCTTCCCAGGTGACTCTAGTTTGTATCCAGTTAACACAAACTAACCAGCACCCTTAACTTAATCCACACATGGTGCTACTTCCCCCACTCCTCCAGCCACTGGTACAAAGTAGCCTTTCTTTGAATTTCATATCTTCTATGTGTATACAATAATGTGTGTGGGCAGGGAGTTGTCTCAGCTTCATATATAGGGGACAACACTCAATATTTTCCTTTCCTTCTTCCCTCCCACTATCCTCTTGTGTCTTCAATATTTTAAAAGGCAATATTTAATTCCAGCGCCTGGGAGGCAGAGACAGGTGGATCTCTGTGAGTTCAAGGCCAGGCTGGTCTACAAGAGCTAGTTCCAGAGCAGCTAGGACTGTTACACAGAGAAACCCTGTCTTGAAAAAAAAAATATGGTCATCTTACAAAATCAATCTACAGATTGATTGGAATCCCCATCAAAATTCCAAAACAATTCTTCACAGATCTTGAAAGGAGAATCTTCAGTTTCATATGGAAACACACACACACACACACATTCACACACACCAAAACAAAACAAAACAAAAAAAAAACAAAAACAAAAAAAAAAAAACAAGCAAAAAACCCAGGATAGCTAAAGCAATCCTGAGCAATAAATAAGCTGATGGAGGTCTCACCATTCCCAAC